AATCATATAGCTGCCAAAGGCAGATACATGTGGTATTGGTGCCTGCTGCCTTTTAAAAAAAAACAGTCTACTTCACTTTTAAGATAGATAAAGAAAAAGGTAAAGGTGCATTCTGGAAACTCAATGTTGAAATATCATAACAAATAAGAGTTATGCTACAATTACAGGGGAAAAAGTCACGAAATTTTTCCAAAAAACACACAAACACGTAGGGTCCGATTATTTTAACAATATTTAATTCAGGTGGGACCCACATCACATGTGAGCATCTGTATTTTTTCTGTGAACAAATCTTCTATACATTTGGCATAATTCAACAAATTATTTCATTACATCGAACATTAGGACAAGAGGGGGTCAATTTTCATCCTAAATAATTAGTTGAAAAGGACAATTCTTTGTGATGGATCACAAATTTTGTGGAATTAAATGGAAAAAGTCGAACATGTTTAGTAAGCTGTTAAATAAATATACATCTATGTTTTTGTCAAAACAAACAAAAAAAAAAAATCTTGCACGTAAAATTATTATAAATAGATGATGTTGGTACTTGATTTTACAATTTTTTTTCCTCCTTTTAGAAAATGGATTTAATTAATTAATATAGTTAGCTATGGTATCTTCAAAAGACTCTTTAAACATATGATATTCTTATTTTAAAGAGTCGATCATTAAAATTATACTTTTCAGGAGACTCTTTAAATTAACATTTTAATTTAGAGAGTGGGTAATTTGGAGAGCCGAACTTGCATATTAAAATGAGAGAGTGCATTTTTTGAAGTGATGTGATATGGAATATGTGGTTAAAAAAGAAAGAAAAATTATTGATGTAAAGAAAAATATTTTATTGAAGAATGCGTGGTTGAAAATGAATAGAAGAATGAGAATGAAAAAAATAATGTGGACCAAACGGGACAAAAATATTTACTTTTTAGTATATTTATTCTTCAGTCCTTAAAGTTTTGCTCGTTTATGAACTTAGGCTTTCGAGTCAATAGATAGTTTTCTTATGAAAAGTCAATGGAATTTTTTGTCAAACTATTGTTGGAGAAACATCAAAATTTTGTATACTCTTGTCGTTCTTACATTCATGAGTTCTTATATCTTTCTGGACTTGAAATTTTTGGATCAAACTGTGACAACAATCTTATTTAGTGTCCTCAATATATCCCTAATGAAATTTGATGACATAGTTGATACAATTTTATTTATTTATTTATCGTTAATATTATTCAGTACTATCCATATTTTGATACGAAATTTGTTGTTGTTAATGTGTCTTAATTTAAATCAAAGTCAATAATTAATTTTAACTACACATTGTATTGAACTCAAACCTTTCATTCACGTATTCCATTGTGTTCGACAATCATTAGAATAATTTTTTTTTTTTAAACTCCTTTTAAACTGCTTCTCACAATAAGATATTTTACACATAAACTGAAATTTTATAAAAATTTAAAGTTTATGAGCTGACAATGGAGGATGGGACTAATAAATTACACTAAGAACCTGTATGTTATGGTTTGACTTCGTCAAAAGCTTTGAACTCGATTAAGATAACTTACTCGATAGGCTCCTTGATATAACGTAAAAATAAAAATCATGCGGAACCGACCTTAAAATAATGAAAAATGATGCAAGTACAGAAAATAAATGACAGAATTTTTTCATATTTTTTAATTTCTCTCACATGAAGAGGCGTCGCCTACATGAATTAAATATTGTTAAAAACAATGGAACCCACGTGTTGTGTGTATTCAGTATAATTTCTGTAAAAAATTTCCTGTACCCATAGAGTGATTGTAAACTCATCTAATTGACAAATATTTGAAAATTTGGTAAACCTAATTAGGTTATAATTTATCTAGGAAAATGCCATTTGCACATTATTTTTTGACATTACGATTGACATGACATGTATTGACAAATGTTGATTATGTGAAAAACTATTAAAAAAAATTTAAACTATCTAATAATGTTTTATTGACAAAATGTAAAAAATAATGTAAATGAAGATTTAGCATAATTGATTTATCTAAGTCTCAAATTTCGTCATGTTTGGATGATAATAAATCAAATAACATGAGAAGAGAGAACCTAAATTAACTACTGTACTATATATAGTTACACGAAAACTTTTAAAATAGTAGCGTTTTTCTTTTCAGACACATTTTGAAAACTGAAAATCTTCGGATTTTACATTTCTATATGTGGTTTGGTATATGTTGGCAATTTTATGTTAAAAATTAAGTGCTTAGAAAACATGTAAAGATCATTACAAAACATGTGCTTTTTAAGATTATAGATACACCACCGACCTTACCTAATTCCGTCCAATAATATCTCCAAGTGATTTATATATCCATCTAAAGATTACACGATAACCGTTTACCTAACACCTATTCAGTGATATTCAATACTTTATATTTAATGTCTTTTATAAAACGGATGTTCGACATACAAGATTGATATTGTATGAAACTTATTATCATTGCATGTTTTTTAAATAATATTATATTTACCAAAACAATATAATAAATAAATTTTCAATTTTTCTTCATTTTTAATACTATTATCTAATAATATCTAGGGAAAATTGCAGTAGCGGTTCTTGATATTTTCATTTTTTGTAGACTTTACCCCATCCTTTATTTTGTGTCAATGAAGGTCCCTAACCTTTTATAAATATACAGGTAGAGTCAAAATGGATGGAAAATGTTCATTTGACCGTTAGTTGACCAAGAAAATCAAAATTTGATTAATTTGACCAAATTAAAAGAGACAAAATTATAAGTTTAAAAGTATCACATTAAATAAATAAAAAATCAAAAGAAAAATGGTTTCTTCTTCGCCCCCAACCTATCCCCAATAGCTGCAAATCAACCACCAACACCAGTCGACACCATCGCCAATTATATTCTTCCCCAACACCCATTCATGCCCCACCCCCAAACCAAAAGTCGCCACCAAATCCACAGCCACCACCACTTCTGTTACCATATTCTCGAAACCTAAACAAACAATCAAAATCAACGAATCTGTAAAAATCAGTCTCTCTATCGCTGGCACCATCGCCTAAGTTATTGGATCTACACATCATCGGAAAGCCCTCATTCCCCTCTACACATCCCACCCAACTACCAACCATAACTCCACCAGATGTCGCCGAATAACCACCCAAAATACCCAAATCGTGAACTTAAAAACTGCTGACAACTCATCCTCCGATCACACCCA